TGATTGGCTGACTCCTCATTTCAAGCAGAACACGAGTTAAATAACAACGCTTCCAGATCCAAGTGTAGTAAATACAAGTAAAATCGAAATTTTGAACTATAAAAACGAAACGAAATTGGATCTGTGTTTATTAAAACACAGATTGCGTTATAATGTATGTCACATAGGAATAAGCTCTAAATGTTTAGCACACATCAAAGTACAATACAGTAGAATTTGTATCAAGCAGCCAGTCAAGGGTATTTTTATGATTGATTGCTTAAAGGACAATATTGGTGTCAGACATTATCACATATGTGATAGAGCTGGTTAAACACGTTCCAAATATTATTTTATCACAGAGATCATTGATACAATAGATGTGTAATCAAAGCTTGAACAATTGGAAGTGACGAACACAAAAAGGAAACATGAGTTATCCCTCTATATAACTGACTGAAGTGAGGAGTGATGTCAGATACATGGGTGAATTTCTGCTCACTAATAATTCTTTCGAAGACTAAAAGTTGTTATATGAGACTATAAGAGTATCTCTGACAATTTAAACAACAATTAAATTGTCTCAGGAGTGGACAAGTGTTAATGCATTTACAAGATACATTATAATTTTCCTTGGTTGAGGGTTTACAAGTTTCCAAAATCTGAATAAGGGCTGGAAATTGCTGAAATTCAACAGATTTTTTCTTCAATTTATTAATTCAAATTTCATGCAGATTGGATGATGACTTTTGTTGTTTGATTGTTCACAAGGTTCAACAAAGTGTATAAAAGGCCATATCTCTAGAGATAATTGATAGAACTTGCTGATATTGAATAGGCTTGTATATTCCACTAACTTAAATAACGTATTTGGGTGTTCACAAGGTTAAAAACCAGCGGCTGCCAGGCAGGATACGCCCACATTTTGTGAGAGATGGATAGAGAACAAGCTAAAAAAGAAAGTGATTTTTCCTACAATCAAGGGCCATAATTCATGAAGTTACAATTCGATATGTGCAAATATCGAAAGGAACCAAGATCTTTGGGTTATAAACATGCATTTCAAGTTTCATCAAAATCGGATTAAAATTGTAACCTCTACAGGGTCCACAACCTTGATATACCATATTTTTACACCTTTCGCGTACAAGCGGTGGCCACTTTGTCCGGCAGTTTTGGTTTGATTTTCAGGAAATTTGAACTCAACCTTTATTATGGTGTTACGGTGATATATTCAAACGATTTTTAAAATCAGATAATAACTGTGACCTTCAGAGGGACCACAAGCTAAAAGAGGCGATTTTTCGTATAATCAGGGGCCATAATTCATGAAGTTACAATCCGATAAGCGACAATATCGAAAGGAACCAAGATCTTTAGGTTATAAACATGCATTTCAAGTTTCATCAAAATCGAATTAAAATTGTGACCCATACAGGGTCCACAACCTTGACATATACCCTATTTTTACACTATTAGTGTACAAACGGCGGCCATTTTGTCCGGCAATTTTGGTCCGATTTTCCCCGAATTCGAACTCAACCTTCCTTAGGGTCTAACAGTGATATAATAATACATTTTTTTTTAAATCGGATAAAAATTATGACCTATATAAGGTCCACAAGCTAAAAACACAATTTTTCCTATAATCAGGGGCCATAATTCAGGAAGTTACAATCCGCTATACGGCAATATCGAAAGGAACCAAGATCTTTAGGTTATAAACATGCATTTCAAGTTTCATCAAAATCGAATTAAAATTGTGACCCATACAGGGTCCACAACCTTGATTTACCATATTTTTACACTATTCGCGTACAAACGGCGGCCATTTTGTCCGGCAATTTTGGTCCGATTTTAACGAAATTCGAACTCTACCTTCCTTAGGGTGTAACGGTGATATAATAATACGTTTTTTTAAATCAGATAAAAATTATGATCTCCTTAGGGACCACAAGCTAAAAACGCGATTTTTTGTACAATCAGACGCCATAATTCAGGAAGTTACGGTCCGATGTGCGCGAATATCGAAAGGAACTGAGATCTTTGGGTTATAAACTTACATGTCAAGTTTCAACAAAATCGAATTAAAATTGTGACCCATACAGGGTCCACTACCTTGATTTACCATATTTTTACACTATTCGCGTACAAACGGCGGCCATTTTGTCCGGCAATTTTGGTCCGATTTTCACTCAATTCGAACTCAACCTTCCTTAGGGTGTAACGGTGATATAATAATACGTTTTTTTAAATCAGATAAAAATTATGACCTCTTGGGGTCCATAAGCTAAAAACGCGATTTTTTGTACAATCAGGCGCCATAATTCAGGAAGTTACGGTCAGATATGCGCGAATATCGAAAGGAACTGAGATCTTTGGGTTATAAACTTACATGTCAAGTTTCAACAAAATCGAATTAAAATTGTGACCCATACAGGGTCCACAACCTTGATTTACCATATTTTTACACTATTCGCGTACAAACGTCGGCCATTTTGTCCGGCAATATTGGTCCGATTTTCACGAAATTCGAACTCAGCCTTCGTTAGGGTGTAACGGTGATATAATAATACGGTTTTTTAAATCAGATTAAAATTATGACTTCTATAGGGTCCATAAGCTAAAAACGCGATTTTTCGTACAATCAAGGGCCATAATTCAGGAAGTTACGGTCCGATATGCACGAATATCGAAAGGAACTGAGATCTTTGGGTAATAAACTTACATGTTAAGTTTCCACAAAATCGGATAAAAATTGTGACCTCTATAGGGTCCACAAGCTAAAAACGTGATTTTTCGTACAAACAGGGGCCATAATCCATGAAGTTTCGATCGGATACATGCCAATATCGAAAGCAGCCGAGATCTTTTGGGGATAAACCTATATTTCAAGTTCCGTCAAAATCGGACAAGAATTGTGACCTGTAGAGAGTCCACAAACAAATTGTGGACGGACGGACGTCCGGACGGACAGGGGCGACGACAATATATATATAAATGAGTATGCTGAATAATAATAGAATTTAGTGTGCACACATTGAAAGTCATTCCAGGATGAACAATATTTAATTGTCATGAATGGGTTTTATTTTTTGTAAAATGTTTAAGAAATGACATGAAATTTTTAAGAAATAAAGATTTTTTAATTACTCTGGTAACTCCCCTGTAAAAGCATGGTTTTAACCTTAGATGGTGTATAACACGATTTTTTATTACGAGGGGGTTTCCTCTATTGATGGAACAACCATCAATAGTCAGAAAATCCGAGGATTCGAGGAATGGCGTCCTTCACAACAGAGAGTAACAAGCGGTTGCCATGCAAGATACGCCCACATTTTGCAAGAGATGGATAGAGAACAAGCTAAGAAGAAAGTGATTTTTCCTACAATCAAGGGCCATAATTCAGGAAATTACAATTCGATATGCGCAAATATCGAAAGGAATCGAGATCTTAATGTTATAAACTTACATTTCAAGTTTCAACAAAATTGGATAAAAATTGTGACTTCTATAGGGTCCACAACCTTGATATACTATATTTTTACGCTATTTGAGAACGAAGGGCGGCCATTTTGTCTGTCAGGTTTTGGCTGATTTTCACAAAATTCGAACTCGGCCGTCCTTAGGGTGTAACGGTGATATAATAATACGTTTTTTTTAAATCGGATAAAAATTATGACCTCTATAGGATTAACAACCTAAAATGGATTTTTCGTACAATCAGGGGCCATAATTCAGGAAGTTACAGACCGATATGCCCGAATATCAACAGGAACCGAGATCTTTGGGTTGTAAGCTTACATTTCAAGTTTCAACAAAATCGGATAAAAATTATGACCTCTATAGGGTCCAGAACCTTGATATACCATATTTTTACGCTATTTGGGAACGAACGGCGGCCATTTTGTCGGTCAATTTTGGGCCGATTTTCACGAAATTTGAACTCAGCCGTTCTTAGGTGTAACGGTGAAATAATAATACGTTTTATTAAATCGGCATTTGTGACGGTTTATGAATTGGTCTATAAGGCCGTAAATTATTGTCAATTTTAAAAAAGTTTTTATTAACTTTAAAACTAATCCACCAAATACTTGTTGTTTCGATTCCCAGATTTGAAATGTGATTTCCATACACCTTAAAATGGACCATTTGAAAATGTCAAAGTGACACACCCTTTTTTGGATAAGGCCTATTTTACTCAACATCAACATAATTTACCCTTATCTTCTAGAGTTTATTACTGTGTGATTTTCTTATTTATGTTATGTTAATAAAGTAAGGTTTCATTAAAATATAAAAAAATAATTTAAGAATATTAAAATCGAATTTCAAATAGGCATATAACGTTTTCCAATAAACAGATTTGAGCCGTTGGTTGTTTTCCAAGATAAAATACCTTTGGCCCCAATGTTAACTCACTGTGTGCTTTTATGATTTTTGTTCTATTAATTAATGTAGGCTTTCATTTTAAAAAAAAAATAAAATAATAAATGATATTAAAATTCTATTAGAAATAGGCATATAAAATTTTTCAATAAACATTATTTGAGTTTATTGGTTTCTCTTTTTACAAACAAGTATAAACCAAAAACAACTTTAGAATGAATACTATGCATATTGCTCTGGGTGTCATGTAATGTTTTGACGGACTTTATAGGCCCCCTAATACTATGAAATTATCCATTTACACTACTACACAAGAATATATTAAATTGTTATAAATCTGAAGTTTGCTCTAGATATTTGTGATATTAGGTCTGATCTGTGTTCAGAGTTACTTTTATTTTTGTGTATTTTTTTTTAACTGATTATTTAGAAATAGAAAATTTAGTTTATACTGTGTACTTATGGAATTATCTGCCATGAAAACTGAAGTTAGCCATACAGCATACTATTACTAGATAAAGACAGAGTAAACAAGCCAACAGTGAGGCTGATGTTCCCCGCTGAAATCCCCAAATAAATAGATGACACATATTAATTAATCGCACATCTATTTTTTTCAAAAGTATCGAGCACTCCTCTGAAATACAAACAACAACGACTGTGGAATGGGTATAAATATAAATTTATGATTATAGAGCATGTCCTATAACAAATTTTGGTAGTTGAATTATACAAATAGCCAGTGTATTAAGGGAGTTGTGAGTAAAATACAAAAACATGTGTTTCTGTCAAATTTTCAGAATCACAGTGTATATAAAGTGAAACAAGTTTCATAACTCTAGAAGTAATTAATGGTGTTACTGTAATCAAATAGGATTATTCATGGCAGTTATGTAAACAACATATATCAATTTAAAAAGAATCAGATGATAAATGTTCATAAGAAATTGTGGATGATGGATCGACAGTCAGGGGCTATGACAATTTATGATCATATTTCCACGTCAAAGTTTTAAAAACAGGTTTGTGTTGTTAAACAAAGAGGGAAGGGTATGAAAAATTTTCAAGGACATACCTATCCCAACCTATTCCATCTATTTACCAATAAAGATTTCTTCTTCATCAGATTCCTATAATATATAAAAAGATGAAATCATAGTAGATTTTATATCATAGTTGTCATTATTATTCTGTTTTAAAGACATATTATTGCAGATAATTTTTGCAGAAACTGAACCAAAGCTGAAAGGATTTTATGTTATGCATGATTAACTATATTATGATTGGTTTATTTTGGTTTATGTTTTCTTCAACAGCCATGGAAATTCTGAATTTATTTGCAATCCTCATTGTGCTAGGGATAATATGACAGAAGGCTAATAATAGATATTGTTTTTAGGACTGTAATCAATTGTGAGCACTTGCTATGCACTTGAATGTTAGATGAGGGAAGGTTACCTCCCTTACATTAAAACTGTATATTGCTGTCTTTTCTTTGAAAAGAGTGTGAAAGACTTGCATTCTGATTGATGCACGCTAATTGCTATCGTTGTGAATATGTTTTTGGGGTATTATTTTGCAGGTGATGGTTATGTATTGTTTAATGGTCGAGAGCGACACATTAAGTAATATATTGTAACAACATGAGGACCGTGAGACTTGAATGTTTTTACAATATATTACGTAATGTCTTAAGCTCGAGACCATTAAACAACTTAAAATACAGACACTTGCACGTGCTTTGCAATGAAATATGTCACTCGAGTCCAATATTTTACCAATTTATGCTTGGCACATTGCCCGTACGATTATTTGAAATAATGGTACTCCAAAATCAAAGGATGACGTCACATCTGTATTTTAATATCATTTATGCACTCATGAATGGGTCCTAATATGCAGTTAATGATCTTCAGAACCATTTCTCATACATACAAGTAACCATTCCTTAGTATTAGATCATTCTCGTAAATTTCTAAATCCCTAAATTTCTTATCAAAATTGGGAAAGCTTTTTCAGGGGAGGTTTTTTTCAATATTTTCATTAAGGGAGTTTTTTTAGGCTCTCCTCTAAAATACAAATTTTGACAAATGTACGGTAATACATGGCAATAGAAAGTCTCTAGTTCTTTTTAAGACTGATTGTATTTAAGGGGATATATGACAGAATGCTAATAGGGGTTGATCAGTGTTATTGTAGTTAATTTTAGATATGTAGAAGATTAAATCAAAATATAGATAACATTATTTTGATATTCGTGTTCAAGTAGAAATTAATCATACCAGGTATAGATAATGAAAGATTGTAGTGTAAAATGATTTGAACTTAATGAAAACTTACCATGATTTATGTTTTGATTGAATGATTTAAATACTTTTTGAATTATGCCATTTTATATATATAATAATTAACTATGTACAATCATAAATTTTTTAGTTGGCTTTACTAAGAGGTACATATAAATTTAAAGTCAATTGGATGTTAAGTTGAGTCTCTACGGCAGCCACAACCAATTGTGGACCAAGGGACGGGGATGATGGCAATAGTTATGTGTAATATTCTAACCTATACTATCTAAATTGCACATTAGCAATAACCTCACAATTGGTATATTTTGGAGTCATGTGAGCAATATAGATAATTGTGTCTTTACAAATTTTTTATATTTTTATAATTAAATTAACATTTTATTTGTTAGTTTGTACCTTAATTTGTGATTAAATTAGTAAATATATACTTATATGTTGCTGTAAAGACCTGAAATAGGGATTCATTTGATCTGATATTCAGTAAATAATTATTCAATGAAACAAATAGATATTTGAATTACTACATACTCGGCAGTAAAAAAATTTGGTTATCTAGTGCAACCCTTATTTACATATTACTACTTACCATTATTACAGTCTGTGCGGTAGAGTTCATGTCAGTGGTTTTGTTAAATTCGCCAACAACTAGACTTTTAATGAGGACCTTGGATCCAATTTTTGGTACATTTATGTCGGTTTGATCTCCCCACAATTTAACCTGTATAGTCTGTTTTTTTTCATCTGTTTCTTGTCCGGATGATAAATTTAGAAATTTTCTCCTAGAGCTATCACTTGTTATAGGGTCATTGATCTAAAATTTTAATTGCATTAAGATAAATATTAGTACATAAATATACATCATTGCACAGGCTTCGGTTTCTATTATTTGAATGAGCTAAAAAAAAAAGCTCAGATTTTGTACAATCAGGGGCCATAATTCAGGAAGTTGCAGTCTGATATGCGTGGTTGTTGAAAGGAATAATATAAAGATCTTTGGGTGTACATTTCAAGTTTCATTAAAATCAGATAAAGATAGGTTGCCAGGCAACGAAACATATGCCCACAGCAGCTATATCATCTGGGCAGTCAACAAGAGAAGTCGCATTTTTTTACTGTTATTTGGTAGTGAAACATTTATAATACATTAAAATCTAATTAAGAGTAACAACTTATTAAGTAATTATCAGAAAAACATTAGAGTTTGTCTGGTTTATATAAAGTTCTGCCCCATGCTACTTCTTCGTCTCATGATCTGAAACACTGTGTATAAATTTAAAGTCAATCGGATATTAACTTTAGCCTCTAGAGTGGCCACCAGATTTTTAAAGTAATCAAGGGCCATAACTGTGGCAGTAATTATCGGAAATCGTTAAAAATCAATAGGTTTCTCGGTCTTATGACCTTAAATACTGTGTATAAATGTAAAGTCAATCGGATATTAACTTTGACCTCTAGAGCGTCCATCAGAGGTTTTGAAGTGATAGGGGCCATAACTCTGGAAGTAATTATCGGAAATTGCTGAAAATCAATAGGCTTCTTCGTCTCATGACCTTAAACACTGTGTATAAATTTAAAGTCAATCGGATATTAACTTTGATGTCTAGAGCATCCACAAGTTTTTTCAAAGTGATCAAGGGCCATATCTCTGGCAGTAATTATTGGAAATCGCTGAAAATCAATAGGCTTCTTCGTCTCATGGCCTTAAACACTGTGTATAAATTTAAAGTCAATTGGATATTAACTTTAGCCTCTAGAGCGTATACAAGATTTTTCAAAGTGAAAGGCCATAATTCTGGCAAAAATTATTAGAAATCGCTGAAAATCAATAGGATTTTTTGTCTCATGACCTTAAACACTGTGTATCAATTTAAAGTCAATCGGATATTAACTTTAGCCTCTAGAGTGCCCACAAGATTTTTCAAAGTGATTAAATTAAGGGCCATAACTCTGGCAGTAATTATCAAAAAATTGCTGAAAATCAATAGGCTTCTTCGTCTCATGGCCTTAAACACTGTGTATAAATTTAAAGTCAATTGGATATTAACTTTAGCCTCTAGAGCGTATACAAGATTTTTCAAAGTGAAAGGCCATAATTCTGGCAAAAATTATTAGAAATCGCTGAAAATCAATAGGATTTTTTGTCTCATGACCTTAAACACTGTGTATCAATTTAAAGTTAATCGGATATTAACTTTAGCCTCTAGAGCGCTCACAAGATTTTTCAAAGTGATTAAATTAAGGGCCATAACTCTGGCAGTAATTATCAAAAAATTGCTGAAAATCAATAGGCTTCTTCGTCTCATGAGTATGACCTTAAACACTGTGTATAAATTTAATGTTAATCGGATATTAACTTGTGGATGCGGACCGACGGCGATAACAATATACGACCACATTTCAATGTGGGTGTATAAAAATTATGACTTTTAGAGGGTCAACAATCTTGGTATTACATTGCCATGAGCAGTTTCCGTTGGATTTTCACGAATATTGGAGTCAACCATCATTTAGGTGTAATGGTGATAGACATTAGTTAATTTAATGAGTTTTTAAAATTTAATGGTTTTTAGAGAGTCCACAAGATAAAATCTCAATTTTTTGGTACAATCAGGGGCTGTAATCCAGGAAGTTATATATTGATATGTACAATATCTTTTTGATTTAAACATAAATTTAAAGTTTTAGTATAATCAGATCAGAAAGAGGGTGTAAATTCTTCAAAAACCATTCTTTTTGTGTTTTAGGAGCAACCATTTTGACAGGCAGTTTTGGTTTAATTTTCAGGAAATGCAAACACAATCATTACATTAATTAGTGTATATATATAACATACAAAACATTATTATCTTACCTTTGAAATGTATCCAGTGATACTCAGTCTTGATTTTTTGGGACTTGACAATGCTTCCGGCACTGAAACAATCTGTGGTTCCCAAAATTGGTTAATTTTGTCTTCACACACTTCAATTCTTTTCATTTGTAATATCTAAATTAACATGAAAATACATTTAGTTAATTTGTAGAATTTAGATTGCATTGGCAAGCTATGAATCTGAACTGTGGACGGACGGATGGACAGGGGTGACGACAATATATGTCCACATGAAGGGTTATAACTCCAGAAGAAATTAACGAAAGTTCTTGAAATTAAATAGGCTTCTTCATCTCACTAATTCAAACGACATATATCCATTTCAAAACAATCAGATGATAAATGTAGCCTGTAGAGTGTTCACAAGAAATTGTGGATGATGGCCGGACGGACGGACCAACAGATGGCAATATATGACGACATTTCCATGTGGGCGTATAAAAATTAAATGGACAAAATAAAAAATAATTAGGTTATTTCAGAGTTTAAAAATATGGAGGTCAATTAAAATGTCGTTGACAGCATTGTTATGGTCACCACGTTTTATATATCGATAAAAATGGAAGTTCAGCTACGTTTGATAGTCTTGAAATAGGTTTCTGCATTTCATTAATCTAAATAATGCATATAAATATCATACAGATTGCTACTTTTGTTGCTACTTTTTTCACAGGGTTCAGTGAAGTGAAACAAGGGTCATTACTTTAGATGTAATTAACGGAAATTACTGAAATTCAATAGGCTTGTGCATTTCACTAATGTAAATAATGCATATAAATTCCATACAGATCGGTTGATAACTTTTGTTGTTAGAAGGTTCACAGAGTTTGTCAAAGTGAAACAAGAGAACAGCGAGGCTGATGTCCCCCGCCGAATTCCCCAAATAAATATATGACACATATTAATTAATCGCACATCTATTTTTTTTTTCAAAAGTATCGAACAATCAAACTGATTATCAACTATACACTAAGTTTCAACACTCTCTATCAGATAGAATCAAAATTATAGGTAAGGTCGTTAATTTCCTGAAACTAATTACAAATGACAAGTGCTATTAGAAATATTTATGTGGTCTTAGTGTAAGAAAACAATGTTGTGGCTATCATTCATGGGTTTGAAGCAGGGATGTCACTAACTTTTCAAGTAACAGGAAATTTTGCTAAAGTACGGGGCAGGAAATATTTAGGGCCTCAGGCCTGAATCTGCGGGCAAACCGAGGGGTGGGATGTGTGTTATGGCGTTAGGTGCATTTCGGGTCAATATTTTAAATGACAGAAAGTTTTTTTTAAAAACATTTTGTGAAAATACACATCAAAAATCTATCCAAAAAACTTTAATAATCCAAACTAGTGCTTTTCAGTCATATCTGAGTGATGTCACAAGATAAGCCTTATAGAATTGCTCGTCTACCAATTTTAAAACTGAAATCTGTGAATATTAGCTCAGGCTTTGCTAAAACTTATAAAATCGTAACAATTTGAAAAATATATAAAATATTTTTAATCTTCATGATACCAGATAAAAGGCAGACTGCATTTATTCGGAATTAGCAAATTTCAGTCTGCAAAACCGATAAATCCCGTTTTCTAATTATGGGTGTAATCGAGTGAATGAAAATCCCCGGAAACGTGACGTCAGAGTTATATTTTCCCGCAAGTGCCTCCCACATAAACAGCAATAGCGCTTATATTTCTGTAACTTTTGAGTCCGACTATTTCGTATATTGAGATCGATATCAAAGCATTATAATACAATTGGTAGTAATATATTTAAACTAAAAAGTAATCTAAAATCGTAGATTGAAAGTCAGCTAAATTTCAGTCAATCACTCAATGACAACTCCGCCGGTGGCTTCCGATTTTCACGCTCAAGTCACGTAGCGTGAAACATTTTCTGTTCACAGGAGAACTGTCAAAATCGTATAGACGTTTACTACTAGCCATGAGGAAAAATGACAGTAAGGGAACGGACCTTCTACAGTCAGTACAGGTCCCTATTTTATTAGGTACGCTCATGTACTCTGCTACTCCTTGATTACAATATACTTTATTTACCCCACAAGCATACAAGTGGAATAAGAAGTTTCCGGTCAAATTCAGCCAAACATGATGTCGATTTATACAACGGAAGTAACAGGGTTACCTCCCTTTTGGAAAGTAAAACTAGCATTGGCATAATTATGAATATTTACCGTGAGAAATATCCTTTGAGTATCACGGAATAAATGGTTACTTGATACGTCTGTGTGCTTTGCGTTTAGGAATTAAATTAGTTTCAATTAATATAATGCCAAATTATTTTATTAAAATTAAATTGCTGATCTTTTTTTAGCTGAAAAGTAGAAAAGTAGCTGGAAATTGGCCTTATGTAAACGGCAAAATTTGCCGGTTGCTGCCTTCTAATGACATCCATGGTTTGAAGGTCAGGTATCATATGAAAACGAATACCTATTAGTAATTTTTTTTGAACTGGTTCAACAGTGCAACCGAACCGTGGCCGGTTAACCGAGTGATCGTTTACATCCTTACTCAGTAATGTAAAGAACATACTGTATATATCAATTTCAAAACAATCAGATGATAAATGTAGTTTGTAGAGTGTTCACAAGAAATTGTGGACGACAGACAGACCGGGCCGCAACAATATACAACCACATTTCCATGTGGGCGTATAATTTTATAAAAAAAATGTATGATTTCATAAAATGAATATTTGAATGTTCAAGCAATTAATTCCCAATGATATAAACTTACCTCTGATTGGTCTGATGCTTTTGCAGTTCCCAAATGTAATGAAGTATTTATATTTTTTATGATTAGAAATTGATCTTTTATTAATTTTCTTACATTTTTCTCTCCAGAAATATATAATTTAATTACATCTGAAGATGTTGCGAAATGCGTGTAGGAGATGTCTTTCATTTTAGTAATGTCACACAATACTTTTCCTTTAGTTCCAGCCTGTAAATAAAAGAATTTAACACCCAATTATTTTTATTTATTCAATATACAAATCTTGCTCAAAGGAAAGCCTTACACCGATCCACTGCTGTGTCTGGAGCAAGATGGAAGACACCAGTAGTGTGGGAGATCCTTTAGGAAATGTTTCTGATCGAACTATGTCCATTGACAGTTCGTACCGCTTGCCATAGCTGCAATATGAAAATATCGCTCATCCCCATCTCTGGTCTAACTAGTCTAAAGGCTATTTTTGAATCCTTACCGACAATTTTCACCCTGATTCTTCTTTGTTTGTCAAAGGAATCATTTCTTGCCATAGCTGACACACATAATAATTCAACACTATCATCAAGTAGAATTTTGCGATAAAAAACAACAAAATACGTTTGAACTCTAATTAACATTTAAATAGTGGTAACACGAGTAAATACTACTACTCAGTTTAGTTAATCGATGTTTTGTATTAAAACAAACACTTATATTTTATTTGTTGGGATGAGTTGTCTTATAATTTGAGTCTCTACCCATGCTTTAAAGTTGGTATGAGTAGTCTTTTATATTGGGATGAGTTGTCTTTTATATTGGGATGAGTTGTCTTGGGATGAGTTGTCTTTGGGATGAATTGTCTGTATACCATAAATATACTATTCAAAAAAAGTAGGGGATATTTGATTTTTAAGTGTTATTAAAGTCACCTAATGAAACTGACGAAGAAACAAATGACAAAATGAAATGAAGTTCACATTCATCGATTTATTCCAAATGATCGTTAGACTAAGTAAGGCACAGACTGACCATTATAAGGGTAAAATGATACCCGGGGTCAAACAGCAAAGTTACCACAGCATCACAACCAAATCAGTAACCGGTAAATCCTCCTCTGTTTGCCAAACAAGCATTGATCCGACGTGGCATACTCCTAATGAGACGTCTAAGGTCATTTTGGTCCAGATTGTCCCATTCCTGTTGCAACGCAGCAGCAAGTTCTTGGACATTGGCAGGAGGTTGTTGACGTTGACGTAACCTCTGTCCAAGCATGTCCCAGACATGCTCGATGGGGGAGAGGTCGGGACTCAGTGCTGGCCAAGGTAATGTGGTGATGTTCTGTTGTTGAAGGTAACCTGTAACGATCCTGGCCCTGTGACATCTTGCGTTATCATCCTGGAAGATGAAACGGCGGCCATGACGTCGTGCGAACGGCACAACATGGACTTCCAAGATGTTGTCCCGGTAGTACTGGCCTGTAACACGCCCTGCAACAACATGTAAAGCCGTTCTTCCAGCAACAGTGATGCCTCCCCACACCATAACAGAACCACCCCCAAATCGATCATGTCTGATGACGTTAACGTCTTGGAAGCGCTCGTTTCGACGACGCCACACCCTCCTAGGTCTGTCCAAAAAATCAACAGTGAACCTTGACTCATCTGAAAACATCACATTGCTCCAGCGTCGATTATCCCAGTGTTGACGATCCCTACACCAACGACGTCTTGCCTGAATGTGATGATCTCTCAAACAAGGGATCACGCGAGGACGTCGGGCGCGAAGGTGACCCCTATGCAGTCGATTCCGAATCGTCTGGCCCCTCACTCTCACACCAGTGTCTGTTTGAAGACGAGCGCTGATCTGATTTGCTGTGATGACACGATTTCTCAAGGCCAAGGTACGGATAAATCGATCCTGGGCTTGAGTTGTCGCCCTTGGTCGACCTGAGCGTGGTCTGTCCTGTACAGATTGTGTATCACGGTATCTGGACCATAGCCTGCTTATGACAGACTGAGAAACATTCATCGTCCGCGCCACAACCGCCTGTGTTGTGCCGATCTGTAGCATGCCAAGGGCACGTAACCTTTCATTTTGGGTAAGCCGACGCATATCAAAATTTGTTTTCTGGTCACTAAAACAATTAAACTGATGTTTCCACCCTGGAATTCAATGCCACAATGACTGTAACATTCAAAGTCAGAGTCGTGCAAATCTTGGGTTGGACCCCCATGATGATCCCAAGCATCACCTGCATTCCATATTTGCATATTTTAGTATTATGCCCCCAAAATCAAATATCCCCTACTTTTTTTTAATAGTATAATAATGTTAAGTGCCGTATCGTATACGGTTAAATATCCACTGCGTTAAAAATATGAATCATAATTTATAAATTCCCGAAACACACACACACAACTAAAATATTATGATTGTATGTGATAATTCTCAGTAGTTTTGTTACCGAAAATACTATAAAACTACGAAATTAAAAAGATTTAGTTCAACAGTAATCGTAACGTCGTTGATCGAACTGTCAGTGTGTGTTTATTACAGACAATTCCCAAGATGCATTGCACGTCACAGTGTTTCTATTGGCTGTAATGCGAGTCGCCACTCTGTGTATTTTTACTCTGTCACTGTATTATTAATCTAATCCTACAGAAAGACTTAGAAATTATAAAAAAAAATACACTTGGAAAACACGGCTTAGGATTTTAAATATTAGCTGTGCCCATATCATAGGAGGTTACTTACTGTAGATGTGGAACTAGCCATGGCTGTCCTGTCGTATATCGAATAAGAATAAATAATATAATACTGCTGTTCTATCTATGGTTCTCTGCTTCCTCTCCAAGATATCTGAAAAAGCGCGAAATTTATGTAGCCTTGAGTCGACGCAGGGATTTGGCCAATCAGGGCCATTGGCACTTTCCGCCAAAAAGAGAATGGATGCCCAGAATAGAAATATTTCGCTCAAATTTGCGCTTTATACTCTTCGCTCAAAATAAACAAAGTTTGAATTTTGAGAATGGTTTTCAACTTTGAAAAAAGATAAAGACTACTAAAGTTACGAAAAGTAAAAGCCTACATTTCGACTGAACTGTTGATAAAAGTTGTACTGTAGAAAGGATGCGGTAATGAAATATACAGGCCTATCTTTAACATTGCAAAAATGAAGAGGGACTATCAATTGATAAAACATCATTGATACTAACTACGGGTATTACGGGTATTAAGGGACATGAAAAATAATATAATTTGTTTTTATAATTTTCACCCAAGTAAATTTTAATTTTCACCCAAGTAAATTTTAATATAATTTGTTTTTTTATAATTTTCACCCAAGTCAATTTTAATATAATTTGTTTTTTTATATTTTCACCCAAGACAATTTTAATTTCCACCCAAGTCAATTTTAATATAATTTGTTTTTTTTATAATTTTCACCCAAGTCAATTTGAATATAATTTGATTTTTATAATTTTCACACATGGGCCTACTGGTCCAGTGGTAAACTTGAAATTTAAGACGTTAGCGTCTGAATAGAGAATGAAATTTAGGTATTCTGGGGAAAAGGTATGTCTATAATTTTAAATGATAAGACAGACCAATAATTGATAAAAAGAATTAAATTTTTTCAAACATAATTTATTAACAGGGAACAAATAATTATTTCGACAAAGTCTCAGAAGAATTTTTGAAATTTGCAGGTCAAATGTAGGACTAATATAAGAGATTTATGTTGATAACTGTGACCAGAGATGGTTGTTGAATCATTGATATTACTATATGAGCCATTTTGGGCACCGAAGAGTAATATTTATAAATATAACATTCACAACACTGTAAACAAATTTAATTTCATATGACCATCTACTACTATCCTGAAATGCATTAATTTCAGAAATAATAGACACATTGAACATATTACGGCCTATTGTGTTTATTTTCAAATCTTTTCAAGTGGATTTTTCACTGTTCTCCATATTCAATTCCAAATGGAGAGCATCAGTTGACTTAAGTCAAAATTCTGTTCTGAACGTTTTTTAGGCATTCCTTCAAGGATTCAGAAAATGTAACTCCCATGTCAGTAAGTATAATATCGCGAATTTTTTTTCCTTTTAATATATGATAAATATTATCGCGGTAAATGGATCTTATCGCCTCTTCCGTAAGTGATAGGTGTTAGTACTATACACATTATCCTTACAAGACAATTTTTTAAAATGACCGCAACAGTAAAAACTAAAATTATCTGTGACAGAGATAATTCGTTAGTAATTATCTGTAAAACAGATTGCAATATTTTCCGTAGCGTAGTTTAATTCCGTCCGATATATAAAAACACACCTTGCCAGATATATTTATTCTAGCTCTAATATTGATATACCTTTTACGTTTTCATATAAAGAACATGCTGCGAAGTTCTTTACATATTTCTTTTGTCCAATTGGTTGAGCAAAGTTCGTATATAGGCAGGGGCGTTTTAAGGTTTATCATGGCGGAGGCTATACTATTTTGAGGGACCTCTGTCAAGGGTGGGGGGGGGGTCTCAGCCCCCAGCCACCGGAGGTCGAGAAATTTTGCAAAATAGAAAACACATTGATGCATTCTGACATATCCTCCAGGCCCTTCGATGCCGGTTTAATCTGAGGGCCGGGGCCTGATTCGATACTGGTTTGAAGCCTGAATGCGAAACAAATCACATGTTCGTATCGGGAGCTGAGTCAAATAATAATTAATGGAATATGGTGGAGTGGGCCTATTGTGCAATCAGCATGCGTAATCCTGGAAATGATGGCTCCGCCAAGCCAAGCCACACATCGGGCGGCCTAGCCATCTCTTTCCTGAATAGCTTATTAGTAGGTTTAAAGCGGTAATTTCATATTTTCAAGTTATTTTTTTAAAATATATTAAAATAAGGCCTTAAAATAGATGGTAACTATAAACAATCCTACCTTGTTAAAGAATAATCCTATTAATCCTATAATTCACTATTGCCAGTTGAGAAATAGGCAAAAATGTTATTTTCAATGAGGGGAATAGAAAAACAAGGGGGGTAATTGTGTTATTATTTCCGTGTTAGTGATTTATAAGACTGGGGAATAATGCCTATGATCGTATAATAGTGAGTTGTCAACCTATTGAGCAATAAAGACAAAGAAATAATTATGTTTTGACTTTCTTAGAAAATATGAAATTATCGCTTTAAGAAAAGGTGATTTCTTGATTGGTGATTTCCATGCAAATGCAATGACTGCATTCTCATTCAGTAGTGGATTCGACAGTACCAATCTATAGAAAACGATTGACTCGGACTCAGGGGCCCTTTTGTCAGACGTAGGACCCCTTTGTCTGCCTTAAGGGCGCTCCCTAACTAGGGTACATTTTCATTTTTCTCATCGGTTTTATCATTTTTCGCCTGTTTTATTTTTTCAACTTCTTTGATTTTTTTTAGAGAGGAGGCTGGCGCCTCCAGCGCCTCAACTATAAAACGCCTTTGTATATAGGTTTCATGTAGAAGCATATTTACATTCTTTGTAAGCGTGAATTCAAATTTGCATTTTATGTTTATATGTATAACTTTGCTGGAAATGCTCAGCCCCCACCCCTTTCTTTAGTGAAGGCATATTTAAATAATAAATTGATGTGGATGATTTGGTGAACATGGTTAATCCGGAGGGGCATTGCCATTGTAATAATGAATAAAATTGGGTTTAAGGTCCAACTTTTCTGCTCCAGTTCGGCTAATGAGGTCGAGCGTATATTTTATAGTCAGGGGATATTAAACAAGCCAACAGTGAGGCTGATGTCCCCCGCCAAAATCCGAAAATAAATAGATGACACATTAATTAATCGCAGTTTTATTTTTTTCTCAAAAGTATCGAGCAATCAAACTATACTGTAAGTTTCATCACTCTCTATCAGATAGAATCAAGATTATCTTGTTCCAAAGCATCGACCAATGAAATTGCCTAGCTTGAGCTCGAAATGTTAATCATTGACCCAGTCAAGACATTCGCCTGATGAACATCTACACCAAGTTTAAACATTGTAACTCATTAAAAGCAGAGTTGTTATGTTCCAAAGTGATCAGTCAAATTGCTTATCACTCCTAAGTCAAGGTACTAATGTAATGAAACTAATACACCAAGTTTCATCAAATTGCTTATCTCTGCTTACCCTAAGCAGAAAATGCTCATCTTCGAACTCCATTAAGATACAGTCAAGGTATTGATCTAATAAACGCTTACACCAAGTTTGAACATTCTAGCTCAATCAGAGAGTTATTGTGTCCCAAAAAGTGTGACGGACGGACAGACAAACGGACAAACCCATTTTAATAGTCCCCCGCCAATTGAAAAGACCCCCACTCCACCCATCCCCACCCATGTAATACATTAGGTTATAATTGTGTCACTAATGTATCACAAGGAGCATTTGAATATTCTCTCTGGGGCATCTGATACCACTTGTCATTGAGGTGTTAACACAGCTAACTGATTTTTGTAGGTTTGTGTTATCTTTATTCAGTATAAATCAACTAATACAAATAAAAAAGTACTTGGTTTAATGAAATTATTTTTTGAGAGTTGGTCATAAGGGTATCATTAATCATAATCGCTCTTACCTTCAAAAATGTACATGATTATGTGTATTTTAAATATCAAATAAAACAATGATGATTTCTTTACAATAGCTGTACAACAATTTTATTCTCAATACTTTCCTTTGATCAGTTGATGAAAAACCTGATTATATTTACAATATATTCTAGGTCTGTGCTCTTTATTCCATTGGTTCAAAATATAATAAAAGAGGCTTATCTAGAAGATTATACCATGTAGTGTTAATAGATAGTACAATGACATACAAGATATTTCAAATCATATTCTTTTTTCATTATTTCATATAATAATTTGATGTGTGATATTCATGTATAAAGCAAAATAGTAAACATTGAATTTCATTCACTTTTATTTATAATATAGTATTAAACAGGTTAGTTATTGTATACAACATTTATATGACTATTTATATTGGTATGTTACTACCAAGATATAACAATAAAGTTAGCAAAAGTATGTATAAATCACATCATAATATAGCACACATATGAATGAATAAACAAAAATATGGCAAAATGAACAACATGAGAACGATTGTAGAAGAATAAAAACAAAGCAATTGTTTAATATTAAAAATATTTGATTTTCTTCTATTTTTTAAGTTATCTCCTTTACATCTGTATTTATACATTGTATGCAAAACATAATTAGAGAGAGGGAGAGAAATACGGTTTAACGTCCACTCGACACAAACAAGGTCATTTCGGGACTAACATATGGTTTAATTTTATTTCAATAATTCGCTTGCGCGTAGGGTTTTTAGTAGTGGGGGGAAACCAGTTACCAGAGTACCGGAGAAAACCCATGAGGTTGGACAGGCGACCCTATTCCTTGCTACATACAACCGGGAATTTGAAACCACGCCAGTTGACTCAATGGCAGGCCGTATGATACAGCGCGCGAAGCTAACCATTCGGCCATCCAACCCCCCAAAACATAATTAAGTTAAATGTGTAAAAATATACAAACTATAGACCATAGTATTCTAAATGAATACGGCAAGGATAAAAAAATATTAGTATGTTTTAATGTTCAATAATTATTAAAATGGTTTATAATAGAATACAAACAATGCAAGCATAATTATAATATCATGTATCAAACCAAAGCAAAGAATTCAATTTCAATAACTATTGAGAGCTGGTTGAAAAATTCTAAACCTATCTGTAAAAGAACTGTATAAAATCTATTGTTTCCATTTATTTTTCTACATAGT